TTCCTGACCTACGGAGTAGCTAGCTAGCTCCCTCCGCTCATAAGCCAACGTCTGGACTTGTAGAGGTTGGGAGGGCGACACTACGCATATAGGCCCCATTCGTTTCTCTTAAAGTTTGGTTTGTTCGGCTTGTTTTTTCAGTCAGAACAGTGTTTTTCTCTACAACAATTTAACCGGAACAGTATTTTTCAGTCAGTTTTAGCCAAAGTTCAGACCAACGAACGGGGCCATAGCGGCATATTGTCTGTTATGTTATGTCATGTTCATATCGTATTCTCGATGCTACGCATGGATCAGGGGCTAAAATTGAGTAGATGTCACGTCGGATATTTAGGTATTAATTAGAGAGAATAAACATTAGTCTAATTAAGCTTAATAGATTCGTCTCGTAAATTAGTCTCAATATATGTAATTAGTTTTATAATTAGTCTACTTTTAATACTTCATGCACGTGTTCAAACATTTGATATGACAGAAACTAAATTTTAGTAGGTGAAACCAAACACCACCTGAGCGGATGCAAAACAACTCTAGGACAGGGCATAGATACCGTTACTGTTGCCTGTTGGTGAATGCAGCCATGCAGGTCATGTCTATGGACGAGGCTTCTCTATAGATCATCAGGCCCACCTGTCGATGAACTATATACAGGAACTGGTCGATCGTCCCCATATCACGATATCAATCATGGATAATATCTAATTCCATTGGATTTAGGCATTTAGCTTACTTCCTCACTCCCAAAATAGAAGTCGTTCTCGCTTCACAAGAAGTCAATTATTTTCTAACTTCGACCAATTATATACAGAAGAATACTAATACTTATAATACAATAATTAGTATTATTAGATAGATCGTTCAATATAATTTATTAATAAATTTATTTGGATATATAAATGTTGCACGCATTCTCTACAAGCCTAGTCAAAGCTGGGAAAGTTTGATCTGCACGCATCCCAATAACGACTTCTATTATGGGACGGAGGGAGTATATTTCATCCAATTGAAGATATGTGTCCATTAGGATATGGTCATCTCCAATATAACACTTTGGCTAGCAACATATATCTGTAACAATATATTTGTTAAATAAAAATATCTATATATATTATGAAAATAGCAGTGGCAGCATCTCCTACCATGAAAAAATATATTAGCTATCTTTTGTCATGAATGTAGTGATGGCAATATCTCCTACCATGAAACTCATGAGAATTCCTTCCCTCTCCATCCCCCCCCAAAAAAAAAAAAATTCACTTCAAGCCCCTCCAGTTTCATAAAAAAACGCAACTCTTGCTTCTTGATTAGCCAACTCAAATAATATCCAATTTGACTAAATATATATATAATCTAATAATATCCATGATATATGATAAGTATTATTAGACTAAGCATGGAATATGTTATTTTAATAAATATATTTGAAAAATATAACATCTCTTATAAACTTAGTCAAACTTAAGGTTCTCCGACTTCTCGAGAAACGAGATTTACATATATTTTTTGAATGAGGAGAGCAGAAACCGTGAAAATTCATAAGGGCAACTCCAACCACCTCCTATCTCAACTCCTATCTTATTTTTGAGAGATGAAGCACAAAATCGCTTCTCCAACCGGACTCTCATCCCAGTCCCCATGCATGAGGGTCTCATATTTATCTCTGTTGTACCCTCGCATGTAGGAGCTCCTCGTCCTTCTCCCTATTCCTCTTTCTCTCTTCGCATAAAGCTGACAAGTGGGACCGATAAACAGAATCCATGACAATGCAGTGTAAAAGTATAAAAATTTAGAAGATCGGTTAGAGTGCGCTGAGAAATAGGAGATGAAATATGGATGAGGGACTAAGGAATAGGGGGGCAAAATTGAGGCTTCGTTGGATCGGAGTTGCCCTAAGGAATTCATGTAAACCAGACAAGGACACTGCTTGTACAGGAGATCTACTTGTACAGGAGATCTGAGTTTGCCGCGTACCCGATCAGAATGAGTTTGTTTGCGCTTTGTACCATCTCCCTCCACAGCTTCATTCAACACATTAACACACAAGATCAATAAAAAAAACAAACACATTAACACACCAGAGCCCAACAATCCTCGTTGACCACTCATGCCGTCCTGAGACATGACCTCAAGCTTACGTCACCGGGCACAGCTCACTACGGCTCTAGCGACCGACCCCCGAAGAACAAGGGCGTCTAAACGAGTTGACGTGGCAGCCGCAGGCCGCGGCGGCGCCATACGCGTCCGCCAGCTGGACGTTCTCCGGGCCCCAAATGTCAGCACCGGTCAGGGGAAATACGGGCCGTACGATCGGCGCGGCGGAGGCTCACGCCGCAAATCGACAGGGGCGGGTGCCGCGTCGTCGCTGGTGGGTGGCTTACACTATTTTTTGCACGTAGCCCCCTGCAGGTAAAGTTTATTGATTGATTGATGAGGAGAGATTAAATAAAGACTTTGCCAGGAAGCCTTTCTGTTATTTCTTAGAACGCACTTAAAGCAAGATTATCGGTCTGGTGAGAGTGAGAGGGACACTAATTTGGGTATCTTTAAGATTCTCGCATTGGATGCGTGCACCACATGACATGACATGGATAGATGGTGGTTGTCGTGGGAACAAGTTTTTAGTTAGATATTTAAAGGTGGTATATATTTTATATGTTGGTGTGTCTCACAAAGATGAAGGATGCTTTTTCGTCTCATCATGCACTAAGACTAAGAGTACGGGATTGTGCAAGATGGGCATGAAGAAGAATGACCGATAATACCCATTAATCATTGAAAAAAGTAAGTTGCCCATGGTGGTTTTCCTAGGATTGTAACTTTAGAAGGAGGACCAAAGGGTTGAACTTGTTGATCCCAATTGCAAATTCTTCTGTTGTTGCGTACATTTACTTATACAACAATATTTAGTTATGAAATTATTGATCTCAAAAGGAAATTATTCTATTGGTCCTGTTCGCTTGTCTTATAATCCGTACTTTTTGGTTTGTCTTTTTAGCCCGGAACAGTATTTTTCTCTCACAACAAATCAGTCGGAACAGTGTTTCAGCTTGTTTTTTCAGCGAAACGAGCGGGCCATTATAACGTACATTTACTTATGCAACTATATTTGGTTAACGACAAAATTATGAATTAAATATGTACTAAAGCCAAAGATCTTTTGCACTTTGAGGTCAAAAACATATGCCGTCAAGTTTGCTTTTTCTCTACAAATCATTGGCTACTTGCTTACCTTGACCAGTATAATGTCTATAATAACATGTTCTTTTTTCTGTCACCTCTAACATCAAGGGAGAATTGAAAAGCTCTACCTTCAGTTACAATTATGATTTTATATGGTCTATAATCTAAAGCTTTATATATACAGTGTAGGCGTAGTGGCATAGATATAAGCTCATGATTTTTTCCAAAAGGAAAATTACTTCATGTTCCAAGACTTCCTAAATATATTTTAAAGAAGCCAATGAATACATATAAGGCTAGTTGAAAGGTCTTTGTTAAGGTTTGTGTCCCAATTCTGTTACGGACTAATATAATACACCTTTCCTATACATTAGTCGCCTCATATCCACGCGACTGCTCAGGCGACGCCCGCTCGCCTTTTCTTTCTCTCCCCCGGCGCCCGGCGACCTCCCGGCGAGAGCCATGGCGGATCCAGCCCTCCGCCTTCCCACGCGCCGTGTCCAACCATGGATCCGGTGGCCACCCAACTCTAGCGGCTACGACGGCGATGTAAGCCCCTCCTCCTCCTCGATCTAGGGTTTCGACGAGCTTCTCCTCTCTCTCCCAACTCCGGCGGGCTTAGAAAAAGGAGGGGCCTCGGGGAGGTAGGCAGGCTAGGGCGTGGGGATGGTGGAGGGCAGTTTAGGGGCCCCGGTGGCGGTGGAGGCGGCGGGGCCAGGTTGGGGCGAGGGAGTCGCAACCGTTCGTCGAGGTTGGATAAGAAATCAGGGGGAGGGGAAGAGGAAGGCCGGAGTTCCACGCCCGCGTGGTGGGGGGGGGGGGGGGGGGAGGTCACCGAACAGAGGCAGGGGCGGGGCGACAGGAGAAAGAAGATGAATAGGAGATAGAGGTGGAGCGTTGGATGAAGATCCAACGGTTCAGATTAATCTCCTCAAACAAAGAAAATTTCCAGGCGTCTGTAGGATAGCAAATCCCAATATAATATCCATAACAATAAACTCTAGTACCTTCTATGATTTTATATGGTCTATAATCTAAAGCGTACACCATGTTAGGTGTAGTGGCATAGTTATAAGCTTCTGTATTTTTTCCAAAAAGAAAATAATTTCATGTTCAATTTCAAGACTTCATATACGTAATATTTTTAAGAAATCAATGAATTACAAAATTATTCTCTTTTGCCATACCGTGTTGAATGCACCACAGCCCGCATGGCTATGGTTATCAATGATGAGTATCTTAAAATGCCGCGATCTCAGGGGCTTAAATGCAACGGGGGCTCTCGTCTCCCTCACCTTCCCGACGGCGACTGCGCAGCCATCCTCCTCCTACTCTCCTCTTCTCCATCTCCTCTCTTTCGCTCTCCACCCTCACCAACTCCTACCTCCCGAGACAAATTCCGAGGCCGACACAAGAAGAGGGAAAGAACCACAGGTAATTGCCTTCCTGTGCTGGGATTCTAGTTCCAATCCCCTCCGCGCCGGCCGGGTGCGCTGCCGCCACCCGGATCAGGCTCCCTCGCGCCATCGACTCCATCTCTCGCCCTTCCGTCATCGTCTCCCCTGGGCGGCCGCGGAGTAAAGATCCGACCCGCTTGGGATTGCTTGCTTCTCCTTTTATCGGTAAGGACTCCCCGCTTGAATCGAAGTTCATTTCGCTATGCATAATTCGGAATTCTCCTTCAGTGGCGGATACCAGTCGGTCCATTTTGTTGTGGATTGTTGTGCTGCGTGGTAATTTTCTTTAATTTTGACCCCGCGTTAGGTGCGCCGCTGGACAACAGTGCTGTACATGCTCGACGACGGCGCTGAGCTCCTGCGATGGCCCGAAGAAATGCCGGCTCAATGCAGCGGGAGGGTTCGGCGGGGTCGGTTAAGGACTGGTCGGAATTCGACCCCTCGCCGTCCCCCAAGCTGGCGTACTCGCAGTCCTACGTCGCCATGAGAGGGTTGTTGACGTCGGTGGCTTCTCTTGACCCTGTCCTGATTTCGAGCAGCCTGAAGTCTCTGTGGGCGGCCTTGTCATCACACAGGCACGCTCGGTCCTTGGAGAGGCCAAAGTACAAGGGGATGAACTGGAAGAGGCCCATGTTCCATCTGCTTGTGTGCTTCTTGGTGGGAGTTTTCATTGGATTCACACCGCTCTTCTCTCTCGATTTATCCAACAACATAGATTCTGAAAACGAGACGCTGCCGTTCGATGGAGATGTGGTTGACAGACAAATGCTGGAACTTAAAAGTACAAAGTTGGAGCCGTTTGTGGCTGCGGCAGAGACTGAAGCCACCGAAGAACAACTGGTTGATGAGAGTCCTCCAGTTCCTGCGATGTTGGATGATGAGGCGGACTTCATTGAAGCGTCGCATGTCCAACCTTCTGTTAATGACTCTGACTTTGTTGCGAGGAAGCAGCTGATAATTGTGACGGCGACTTCTGTTCGACCACACCAGGCGTATTACTTGAATCGTCTGGTTCATGTGTTGAAAAATGTACCACCTCCTCTTCTGTGGATTGTGGCGGAGTGGCCGTATCAGTCTCGTGAAACAGCGGAGATCCTGAGGTCTTCTGGGGTTATGTACAGACATCTTATCTGCAATAGGAACAGCACAAACATAAGGAAGATTATTGTCTGCCAGAAGAACAATGCAATTTTTCATATCAAGAAGCACCGTTTAGATGGTATAGTACATTTTGCTGATGAGGAGAGAGTGTACTCAGTTGATTTATTTGAAGACATGCGAAAAATCAGGTGATCTTTCTGTGCTGACACTTTCTTTGTGGTACTGGAATTTATAGTAGTTTTGTTTATCACAAATTTATTCATGGACAAATTTTGAAATAATGGACGATCCTAACTTAGCATGGATTTACACGGTTTACTGATGCACTTTTAATCATCAAAATACTTTTGACCAATCATTTGCTTGGTCGTGCTACCTTTTGCCATGTATTTTGCTTGTCGATGTTGTAAAATCTTTCTGCTTGTTCCATATCGAGACTGTATGCCTGTGATTGCTAGTTAGTATTAATTTTTTTTTTCCTTCTAAAGTCCTCTGATATGGAGTGGTGTTGTAAATGATACAATCAACTCTGCTAAAACAATACTTCTCTAGAAACTAAAGGTTTGCAGTCTATTTGGTTGGATGGAGATATGCATTTTAGGTGGAGCTTGATGCAAGAATCCAGTTCTTCCTTTATGCCTTTCCCCCCACTTTATCAGTCTTCCTTTCTAGTAGCTATAATTTCATTTTTATGTGTGCTCTGTGCTTGCTAGAGCTGTAGAATGGCCCACCATACTAAAGCCTATTTCATTTTCAAAATTTTAATAGGAAGCAGAGCTTTTGTCATTTCTTTCCTCCACTAAATAAAAGCTTGCTTGATGATTACTTTAGATGCCTTTAAAGGATATCCTACTAAGTGTATCGCTTTTTAGTCATTTAACTAACCGCCTTCTGGTGTGGATGCAAACGCAATGTAGTAGAACGTCCTGGTCCAATTTTTTCTTCCCTCGAACGCGAGACGCATGCCATTTCACTAAAGAAGGAATAAAAGTCGCCACACCCACACACCCACAAGATATCAGTTCACTCGCGCCACAAATAAAACCTAGAAACAATCAACGACTATTGCCATGTTAGCAACATTATTCAGCTATTCAACTCCCAAGATCCTTAGCCCTGGCTGCAATCCATAGTGAAACCTCTCCTGCTGCAGTTCGTACCAGTGTGTCCAAGCACACAGAGCAATAATATTTCCTTGAGATTCCTGACACAAGGGGATTATGACCTCCCTACTCTGTATATAGCTGGCTGCTTTTCACATCTGAGAACAGCCTAGGATTTAGTCACTATAGTACAACCATGAGTGCTCCTGTAGTACTTTCTTCAATATTTACATGGGAATGTATGCTATTTATAACACAGTAATATTCACCGTTCCCAATCTTCTATGAGCACTTTTCGTCTCAAAGTGACAGTCAGAAAATGTTCCTGATGATTTTGTTCAATGTCCTGCAGGCGCTTTGGTACGTGGCCAGTAGCAACACATGTTGGAGCCAGGTACAAGGTGGTTTTGGAAGGGCCCGTTTGTAGGGGTAATCAAGTCACTGGATGGCATACAAACCAGAGAAGGGGTGTACCTCGTCGATTTCCAATTGGTTTCTCTGGGTTTGCTTTTAACAGCACTATACTTTGGGATCCCCAGAGATGGAACAGCCCCACTTTAGAGTCTATTATACTCCATTCAGGTGGCAGAGGTGGCTTGCAGGTTAGTATTATGACTATTTTTAATTAAAATGAAAAGTAGAAAACAAAGAAGACGATTATATGGTTTCACATGTGGAACTTCGGTTTCCTAATAGAAACCAATCTACTGTGTTGATGTTTCATCTTAATGGTAATATCTGCCTGACTAAATTTAATCCAGCAGAGCATGCATAAATCACTGCAATGTCTCCCTGTTGGATAAAACTGCAATATGAAGATTCACTAGATTCAGTGAATTACTGAACTTAAAATACAACCTATTGAGAGGAATCTGAACCAAATGTAACTGAAGTACCATCCATACATTAGAGTAACACATGAAACCACAGTGTTGTTAAAATGTATAAGTGCCACATGAATATTTGTTATGGGTGGTGGTATGCAGTACTGAAATAAAACCTACCAAAGAGGCAACTTACTAAAGCACACAAGGAAACATCTTTCTGTATATTGATGCAAATCGTGGCACTGCAGGAGTCAAGATTCATCGAGAAGCTTGTCGAGGATGAGACTCAAATGGAAGGCCTCGCAGACAACTGCACTCGGGTTATGGTCTGGAATTTCGACTTGGAACCTCCACAGCTGAATTACCCTACTGGCTGGCTGCTGCAGAAGAACCTAGACATCATCGTGCCTATAACATAACTGCAATGTTGCTGATCTTTTTGTTCGCTCCTCCTAGTGTGGAATGATGACGATGCCTATGCCTTCCTGAACTTGGTAGCGTCCAGGATCATGCGAAGCTGCTCTGCCAAGACCTGGTTCGAATAATGTGATACTAGTAACAACAGCTGAAAGCAAACAGGCCTGCCTGACAAAAGGAAAAATTCGTTCTCCCCCGTTGCGCTGCATTCTCAATGCTCTTCAACCTAGATAGGCTTGTATATTTCTTTTCCTTTCATTTTTCTCTCTTTTTCCTGTTCTTTACATACATACATACACACATATTCATTCATTCATAAGTACATATATACATACATCTTACAGTACTTTACAGATGTTAACGAAAGCGATCTCGCGACGCTGATGAGATGATGGCATATGTTGCATCTTGCATTGTGCTTGTGCGATGGTGGTGTTAGGCAACCGATGTCCCTATCGGACGAGGCAATTAAGTTGCAGCGTACTGTGGTAGCAGAGTACTGATTATAAACTTTAAACTTGCGTGTCTCTTGGTCCACTTACGAATTGCTCGCCAAATAGTATTGCAGCAAGGATTACCATTGTGAAATTGCCTACGACTGAATCAAACTTCTGTGACTGCCTGAAGACCGACTGAACCAAACTTCTGTGACTGCCTGAAGACCGGACGCAGGCAATTTCACAATCGTAATCCTTTGGTGGCTAATAAAAATCACTACCGTGCTGTTTAGTTCATAGAACAGTAACGCAAATGGAAATGAAATCAGTTCAAATCGTATATGTTGCCAATAACGTCCACAGCTTTAATTCCTTTACATTTGCATTACCAATGCTACAACCTGAACCATGATCCCATGAACGGGAAGACTGCCACCAACAAGCGCATCAAGAGTGGCGCCTGCTTGTACCTGGTAGTGCCCAGCCCCATCGTTCTTGGCATCCGCCGTCGTCTCATTCTCATTCTTTCTGGAGGAGCTCCTACTCCCCTGCTCCACTCTTCCGCCACCACCAGCAGCGGCAGTATAATCCGCATCTTCCTCCCCAGTTGCTGAAGGCCGCGATTTCGTGCTGTAATCAGTGTTGCCAGCTGAGAATGAGTTGCTGCTCCTCTTTGCCTCCTGGGCAGCAGCAGTGTTGTTGTCCAGAAGCTCATCCCATCCTCCATATCCACCACCGCTTTTGTTGCGTCCCCAGTCATCTCCACTGCTGCTGCTCTTGGTGTTATCATCAGCTCCAACAGCAGTTGAGGCAGCATCAGCAAAATCGTTAGAAACCCTTGACTGGTAGCTGCGCCACCCTCTCCTCCCCTCATAATAGTTGCTGCTGCCGCCGCCGTATCCATTGCCTCGACCACCTGTTGCAAAGTCAGTGGCGTCCTCAGGGTAATCTTCCTCTTCTTCCTCTTGGACTGGTCTCCTCCACCGCCTGTCGTCGCGGTTGCCTTTTCTCCTTCCCCATACAGCCTCAAGCAGAAATGATATGGCCGACTGACCGAGCGGGAACACCATGGCCATTAGAAAGGCCTTTGTCCCCGTTGCAGCAAACATGGACACAAGCATCACCGGTAGCAGGAATCCGTACGTCTTAAATACCTAGGCCACAAGTATAGAAAGCAGCAGGCCATTGATCAGTCACTACAACAACGAAGCACAGTTATTCGTTCGTTGATTTTATTACAGTGCTGATCTGATATGCATGCTAAATTACTGATGAAATGAATAGCAGCAGGAACAGAAGCTGATAAGTCTGAGTTAATTGATTGTAGTGAGCAGTTAAGATCCCAATTAGAGAATTACAAGTAGAGATTTGGTTTAATTAGATACACTAGGCAAAATAAATATATTGTTGCTTGATTTAATACCAGGAAAAATGAAGGATGATTTAATTTAGTTTCAAGCATTTTTAAATGTAACTCAGAATGATTGGCAAAGGATCTATGATCCCAATCCCATATTCCCATTATACGCTCACTGTCCAGAGCACGCAAGAAAATTGAAGTTATGTTTTCAAAAAGAAAATTGAAATTATTGATGGCATAATGACAGAGCCTGCCAGAAAGAAAGGGGAAAAAAATACAGGAACAGAAATTCTATATAGTACGTATGTAGCAGACCTTGGAGAACCAGGGCTCGTCGAACAGCTCCCCGGCACCTCCAAATCCGGGGAACGCAGCCTCATCCTCGTAATCGTAATCGTAATCGTCCTCTACAGAAGAGGAACCGTAGTCTTCTTGGCTGCCGTCGGGGTCGGACCACCACCTCCTCCCCGTCGCCCTGCTGCTCGTGGTGCTGTCTCTTCCATGGGCGTTGCCGTTGGAGAACCACCAGCTGGAGGAGCCGCGGCGGAGGGAGGAGGAGAGGATAGGAAAGGGCGGTTTGCCTGGTGGTGCTGGAACTGGAGGCGCAGGGGCAGCAGCTACTATCATTGCATTGCCTGCCGGCCGTCCGGCCGCCGCTGCCCGCTTTTCCGTAACAGAAAGCTGTGTACAGGGAGGGGAGGGAGAAGATAATCTTTCCCTTTCCCCTTTTCTTAATTTCTTTTCTATTCAAAATCTTTAGAAAAATGAATTTGGGCTAAGTGGGGCCAGAGTCCAGTGTAGCACGAGCTTCCCACGCAGTACGGCAGTAGCTGTTTTTCCGTTCTTTTTTTTCTCCTTTCCCCTCAAAGATAATCCAGCTTCTTTGTATTATAATATGTAATATCTATGTCTTATATTCCTAAACCCAACTAGCGAATCTTATATTCCTATACCCCACTAGCGATTTCTCTTAACATGCAAGCTCTCCACCTCAGCAATACACTATCACATGCAATTAAAACCCATTAACATATGCAATTGTGATGTCCATGTCAGCAAGACATATAAGCATTTCGTTCTCCGTGTCAACATGTCACGTAATCCGCTAGCATTAATTTATAATAGTTTATTCCTTCATATAAGTAATTATATATAGTATAATTTCATTTTAAACCATCCGGTATACTTTAAGTAGTTATGAATCCCCAATCTATCGTCCAAGCGATAAGAGACATGAGAATTAGTAGAATATCCTGCCTCTGGTAACCATCGCAAAATCACAAAAAGTAGAATCACACAATGGACAAAGATTATTTGTGGAACCAATCTTCTCTTCTTTCATCATTAGAATAGTGAATACATAGGTTCCTTATATAGATAGAAGATAGCCATCTAGCTTCTTCAGTTATAACTCTTGAGCTTCAAGAATTAATTGGATATAAGTCCACACTTTGTACGCTGCCTCTGCTCGGCTACGCCAAATAGAGACAATTCAGTTCGGTTATTTGGATTTGAAGAACTTCGGTTTTGAGAAAGCTTGCAATCAATTGCTCTAGAGAAAAAGAAAAAGAGAATCTGACAATTTTGATTTCGGGTTATATTGGTCCTGTGTTTGGTTTCAACAAAGATTCCAGAGAACTCCTCTCCTGCGCCATCCTCCACCGTAGCTCGTAGCTCGTTCGTCGCGTAGTCGGCAGTTGCACTGGCGCCGCCACCGTCGCGTCACACATGTTAGGCTTTGGAATGGTCTAACAGGAGAAGATTAACAGCGTGTTGGGCTTGTTTCAGCTTGTTCTCTCACACACAACACTATTGAATCATCCAAAATAATTCAAAATCTACTGTACAAGTGAACAGCCGAGCGAGCTGTAAACGGGAGGGAACACGGAGGGCTACTGCCTGCTGGGCTTGGTGGATTGTTGGGCTACGGCGGGAACTTAGAAGGGCACAGGCGCAAGGATTGTTGGGCCAGTCAGGATGGACGAGCGATGCTCCTCGCTTTTAGGAGGGTTTAATCCGTGTGCTATTAAAAAAGTAGGCAATTGTTAATAAACTATTAAAAAATTCGAGCGATCTTCCACGCGTTCGGAGGGTACACTCGGTCACTGTAGCTCGACTGGTTTTGATGATTAAATAGTGTTTTGTGAGGAAGAATAAACTGACAATCTGGGACCGGAACAGCCGAACGCGCTGTATAAGTGCTACTGGTCCAAACTTATTTACTGTTCATGCTATTTCGTCGACGTTTTGTTAGCTTTTAACGGTTTGGTGGCTCTGACATACAGGCCCGACATGTCTAAATGTCCAAAATACCCCTGTTTCCCGATCCTATCCTTCACAAATCACAAGCCCTCACCGCCCGACTTTCATAAAAAAAATAAGAGTCCTCACCGCCCGCCGCCTCCCACTGCTCTGGGACCGAGCTCGCATCGCGCGCCTGCTGGCCACCGGGGACCGGCTGCGGCAGCTCCGCGCGCGCCGCCGCGAGGACGCCCGCGCCGCTTGGATGGAGGCGGGAGGTCAGTCAGTCAGGAGGGCGCCACCGACTGCGTGAGCCGCTCGACCTTGACGGCGATCTCCGGCGGTGCCCCAACCGACGGACGTCCAGCTCGAGCGCGTCCGACACGTCCTCGGAGCTCCATCCAGCCCGCCGGAGCAGCACGAGGCCCAGTTGCGTCTGAGTCCACCGCGGGGGCCGCCGCCTCCTCGCCGTCGAACACTCCGGAGGCGTGCTACTGCGACGGCGCCACCGACAACGGCGGTGCCTGCAGGTCCAGACGCTGGAAGCAGGGGTCGCGGGTGAATAAGTGGAGGATGTCGAGGCCGCAGCAGAGGATGCAGATGTCGATGCCGCGCAAGCCATCTCTCTCTCTCGCTCCGCACGCTGCCCACCCAGGCACCCACCACCAACCAGTAGCTAGCTCGCTCCCCGAGGCGCCTCTCGAGTCCCGACAGGTACGCGCGCGCGGGGGCCGGGCCGTGCACGCCCACGCCGTCGCGCACCCGCTCGTGCCGGGCTTCCTCGCTGGTATGTACGTCGAGAACGCGGACGTGGGCGTGGCCAGGCGGGTGCTCGAGACGGAGGACGCGTTGGCCGTCGCGTGGAACACCGTTGTCGCCTGCTGTGCGCGGCTCGGCCTCGTTGACGGCGCGCTGGACCACGCGGAGCGCATGGCGATGTCGGACCGGCTCGAGCCCAGCCTCGCGACATGGAATGTCGTGATGTCCGGCTGCTCGCGTCATGGGCGCGACCAGGAAGCGTTCGGCTTTGTTCGGAGCATGCTGGAGCGAGGGATGCGACCGGACTCCAGCTCCATGTCGAGCCTATACTCAAGTCTCTGGCCACTGGCCAGCTTGGGGCTGCTTGCCCATGGCATGGAAGCCCATTGCTTCTTCCTCAGGCATCAGCTCGAGCCGGACGTGTACAATATATGAGACAACCGTTCGTTGACATGTACGCCAAGTGTGGCCGGCTGGCCGCCTCGAATACGCCCAGAAGGCGTTCGACGCTCTGGAAAGGAATCTTGATTATTTTTTAAAAAAATATTAGTTTGGCTTATTATTATTTTGTTTTGATTTTAGTCTTGATACCAGCTGGAACAAAAGTATTGCCGTCGGAATAGGTTGTTGTTTAATATAAGAGTAGCGAGATTTTCAAATTTACAATGTTCAAAACTTTTTTTTTTTGCAAATAATTTGAATATCAATTAAATTAGTGTGGTTAAGAAGGGTCAACGCCAATCAGTTTGGCGCCAAAACGCTTAGCCAGGGAGTGGCAAAGGGGGGGAAACAAAACTTCATTACCCTTCTCTACTCTAAGGGTATTTAAGTCTTTTCATAGCTACGTTAGTCACCGTTAGCAGCCAAAGTGGACGGAATGGCGTGGACCGCAAATAAGTTTAGACCAGTGGCACCTATGACCGCTCGAACTTTTTAGTGGCACCAAGCCGACAAACTTTTTTAATAGCACACAGGTTAAACCCTCTGCTTTTAATGGTTTTTGGCTGGATTTGGGGGCAAAATCGTGCACCAAGCCGACAAACGAAGCTTCTAGATGTCAAAACTGAAGCCGAACCGATAAACCAAATCTCCAATATTTCAGTTCGGTTCGGTTTTGCGGTTTTTAGGTTACATGTGTTCACGCAGAGCACCAAAACAAGAATCCAACTTCCTCGTGACCTGCTAGTATCTCATGGAAGCTTCTAGATGGTCGATTTTTTAGCATGACACCCAAGTTGTTAGGTAGTGTTTAGGTGCAGCGACTGAATCGTCTCGGATGGGATATCCAATCTCCGCTCGACTAGGGAATATACGCTCTAGATTTGAATTCAACTTGCCACCAAAAATCTCACGGACGGAATCATCGCAAGTGAGATGAGCGTTGCACGTGCGCGTGAAGGAGCGTGAGGAAGAAGAGGAGCAGGGGTTTAGGCAGGCGTGGGTGTTGAGGAAGAAGGCAAGATTGAAGGGCCGACTGTCGGGGTGCGAGGCGGTGCTCTGGGGAACGCGGGCAAGGCTACGCAGCCGCAATCGAGCTCGTCGGCGGAGAAGGGCAGGAAGAGGAGCATGCACAACCGAGCTCACTGGTGGAGGAGTAGCACTCGGCCAAGCTCGTGTGCGGCCGACCTCGCATCCAAGCAGTAGAGGCGTGAGCGTGGGGGCGCGACTTGCCAGCGTAGTGGGGTCTAGGAGGTTGGCGATGAAAGTATAAAAAAAAGAGGAAGAAAAAAAAACAGACGTGGCCCCATATGTTAATGTCTGGTCCTAGTTTTAAGTGTCCTCAAACCAAACATGTAATATGGATGGTCCTGTCCTCCCCAACCAAACACAAAATGCTCCATTCCACTTCTAAAATCAAAGACAGGCCCATCTCATCCCACCGTGTCTCCTAACCAAACAAACCCTTAGAGCAACACCAATACACACCAATATCGGCTAGTGGTTCGAGAAAAAGTTGCTGCCATGTAAACTTTGAGCAGCTAAAACTACTATTGTCCCAACCACATGCAAACATGTAGCAGAAAGGATGCTACTTTGCCCGACGGAGAAAGACACTAGAACTAGAGACATCTTTTTTCACACACCTTCTCTTTTCTCAAGCCTTTATATCAAGTCACATATGCTTCTGCAGGTTATATGAAGACACTGCCAAATCATCATCCATGCTCTCTCTTTTTTACGTGGTGTCCAAGCCTATTGTGGCTATGAGCCTAAAACTTTCCTTGGTTTCAAAAAAAAAAGTGTCATTCTCACTGGTAGAGAAGTTAATGTTTTTAAACTTTGACTATATATATATATATAAATAAATAAATAAAAGAGATATTAATATTCTTAATACATAATCAGTATCATTAGATAGATCTTTGAATATATTTTTGTAATAATTTATTTGGAGGTACAAATGTTGCTAATATTTTCTACAAATCTAGTTAAACTTAAAAAAAAATTGACTGGCACGAATACCATAGCGACTATTTTATGGGACGGAGGAAATACTTTGTGTTAGGGATGACCTTACACAGACAACTCTGTACATGTTAACATCTCGCAACCGAACATACTCACTCTGTTTCTTTTTATTTATTATTGTTATGGTATTTGTACTGGTCAATTTTTTTAGCTTTAACTAAATTTGTAGAAAATATTAGTAATATTTGTGACTCTAAATGAAATATTATAAAACCAAATCGTTAAATCTATCTAATGATATTAATTATGTATTATAAATATTAACATTTTTTATATATTTTGTTAAAGTTAAGTATATTTGATTTCTCTGGAAGTGAAAAAGAAACGGGATGCTGACCCAAGAAACTCACATCCAAACATGCCGTCCGTGCAAGGAAGTGGGCCTGAACTCGTGTCATATGCCATGTTCGTTTGGCTGATAAGTCATAGCTAAAAGTACTGTTGACTGATTTGTTATAAGAGAAAAACACTATTCGTTGGTTGAAAAAACACAGCTTGCAAGCCAGTGTTCCATTCGCAGGATAGAAGGCGTTTGAGTCGGCGCCGCCTCCTACTGCTACTAGCTCGGAGTTGGAGTCGGAGTCGGATGGGCCAATTCTGGGAAAGTGGGAATGAAATCGAAGAGGTCGGGGCGTTTCCTGGACGGAACCCGACTCCAACTCCGTCAGGTAGCCAGGTAGGGAAGGGACATGGCCAGTTGCCGCTCCATATTATATCGCGGTGATGCGCCGGCTACGCCTGTCCTCATTCGATTCCGCATTGCAACGACTAGGCGAAAAATCGAAACGATGGCGCCGTCCTTCTCGGGCTCCAACAAGCGCCCTCTCGAGATGGTCGTCTACGCCGCCGCCGCCGCTGCCGCCAACGCGCGGGACGACGACGAGGAGACCTCTGCCTCCACGTCGACGTCCCCCAACGCCGCCGCCCTGTTCCTGCTCGCGGCATCGGCACCACCGCCATTCGGCGACTTGGAGCCCATCAGCGCCGTCCCGATTTCCGCCGTCCCGCCTCAGCTGCCGCCTCACCCGTGGACGACGCGGTCGCCCGTTGCCGGCAGGGAAGAGCCGCCGTGCCTGCGCAGGCATTTCCTCCTGGCTCTGGGCCTGCGCGCCGACCTGCCCGTGCACTTCATCGACGCAAAGTGCTTGACGGCCACCGACCTGGACCCTCACCAGAACCGGCTGCGGATCCCGAGAGACGGCACCATTCACCGCCTCCGCCCGCTCCTGACCCCCGCCGAGCTCCACGACGCCAACCTGTTCTTCCTCCCAGACCCAGCCCCGAAACCGAAACGGAGGTCAGCTGGCAAGCAGCAGCAGCAGCAGCAGCAGTCGGCGGCGGAAGCGGAACCGCAGAACGACGGCGCCTCGGCCTCCTCCAGCGCCGCCGCCGAGACCGAGACCAAGAAGATCAAGAAACCCAAGGCCAAGGGGAAAGTGCACGGCGGGCTGCGCGTGAGGCTGGTGAACCTCGACGCCGGCGCCAAGGACCTGCTGCTGTCGCGGTGGGAGAGCAGCCGCGGCACCATCGTCAAGGGAGAAGGGTACCTCGACTTCATCCGCGACCAGTGCGGCTTCAAGGCGAAGGACGCCGTCGAGGTCTGGGCCTTCGTGCAGCGCCGGTTCCGCATCTTCGGCATCTTCGGCGACAGCCTCCTGCATGTACTCATCGTCAAGAAAGACGACGAGCAGCCGCAACGGTGCCGCTACTGCCGCCACCCACCTGCACCCGCTGCCAATCCTTCGATCATGAGCTCGTGATAGCGAACTAGGCAGGATCCGTTTCGATACGGTTGGTTTCCTTTTAATACAAGCCATAGATTATTTTTGCGGGCTAATAACATACGAAACTGGATGATAGTCGACGCTAGAAGGATGCACAATAATGTTCGGCAGATGTATATATCTTATTACTCCAGCTTTTGTCGTGTTTATCTGCTATATATCATTCTGATCTTGATTTCAATGCAAAATTACAGCATATAGTACTTTTCTTCGTTGCGACACATTTTTATGTTAAAATGCTTATTAATTCGGTTCAGCATCGGTGAGAATGACCGATATACATACGTGTTGCACCATACAGAACAAAATGCAAATGGCTCAAAATATGAAAATAGCTATGCATTTAGATACCCGTCTGTCCCAGAATAAGTGTCGTTTTGGTATTCATGCCGTCAAACTTTCTTAAATTTAACTAGATTTATAGAAAATACGAGCAATATTTGTATCTCCAAATAAGTTTATTATAAAAATAGATTCAATAATCTATCTAATGACACTAATTATATACTATAAATATTTATATTATATATATATATATATATATATATTTGATCAAAGGTAAAAGCGTTTGACACATCGGAAAGCGAGAACTGCACTTATTTTGAGACGGAGTGAGTGTAGGATATATGGGACCAGGATACCTCACCGCCCATATATCTGGCCCATGCCTGACTACTGGGCCGAAGTCGACGAGAAAGAGACCCACGTATGTCGGATGCATCAGTAGGCTTGGAGATCAAATAATCTTTCGGATATCCAACGTCGTCATATCTAGGCGATAGGATTGAATCATTCAGTCATGCTTTCCATATAACAAACTAGGAAACACATTTATTAATCGATCGGATCTGCTGTCACCCTACCCGGGACTATATAATGAGGGGTAGGGACCCCCTGATCGAGATCCAATCCTTTACATTCTAGCGCATATCTGCAATCAGCAACCCCTATAACCGAGCATATAAATACAGAGGGAGCTACTTCAAACTAGACGTAGGGCACAATGTACCTGAACCAATATAAACCTCTATGTCTCATGTGTTACCCATCTGATTTCCTGTACGCAAATACGCTGATCGGTATTGCTGGAGTAGATTCTTTCGATAGTTGACGCGCCAGGTAGGGGGCCTTTTAGATGGGCCTCATCATCAGGATCGACGACGACGCCGATCGGATGCCGCTGGGCGACAAGATAACTTTCGGTGGCTTGGCCTTCATCGCCGACTAGTTTGGGAATTTACATGTGCAAGATCTTAAACCACACATGCAAAACAATGAGCAATCACCGCCCGTCTGGTTGGACTTGAAGGTGCCATGGAGGCAGGGCCAATCGAGCTAGCCCACCACATGAACCTCTATATTTATTTTTAGGGTCAGTCGGCTTAAGAGAACTGTTCCTAAAAATGGGTGATTTCTAGACGTTTGCCCTAGAAATCGAGTTTTATGGGCAACTGACTTAGTCAACCACCCTTAAAAATAGCTGCAACACAAATAAATTCATAACTTTTTACGTAAAATTGGATGAAAGATAAAATTTATATCAAAATTATAGAGCTCAACGATATCTAAAACTTTGTAATTAATGAATTTTTTATTTGAGATTATTTAGGGGCCCATATATTGTAGCTTATAGAAAACAGATGGGGTTAGTTGTTGTCTAGACAGTAGAATCCTTCTATGTCCATTCAAGTTGATGTCCTCTATTTGTGGCACCAATTTTTTACCACAATTTGGCATGCATGATATATATATTCCATGATTGGATTGGTTTACCACTTTTGAGTTATCTGTTGCTTTTATTTTAGCAAAAAGAGTTACCACAATGCAATATTCTTAGTTCTGTCAGCATAATCAACCATTTGTTTCTGTTGTGTCCACTTTATTTATTTTGTAATTTCTCCCCTTTGCTTCTGTCGTTTTGTAGCTACTATGATCTTTGAGGGTGAAGTTAGCATGGCTAGTCAATTGGATTTTAATGATGTACACTCTGATGTGGAGTCAGTTGCGCCATTAGGGCCCTGTTCGCTTGAACTTATCAGCCGTACCGTTTCAGTTTCAGCGAAATGACAGTGTTTTTCTCTCATAATAAATTAGCATCATCATCAGCATCAGTTGTTTTTTCAGCTAGCCGAACAGGGCCCTAGCTCATGAATGTACCACACCACAAAAGTCCATTAGCATCCCGTTCTGTGTAGGTATCATACAACTATTACTTATTAGGTACCTTTTCATAATAGATGTGTTATTTTACATCTATCGTGTATTTTGTGGGGTCCATCTTATACTCCAGATTGTGTTTGTGATGACACCTTGAAACCGAACATTAGGACGACTTTCGCAAATGTTGAGTAAGCGAAGGAGTTCTATAAATGCTATGCTCATCATGTGGTTTTTTTAGTCCGTGTTGGGCAGCACAAATTTGTTGATGGTGCGGTCTCGTGCAAGCACTTCTTTTGTGCAAAAGACGGTTTCGTGGTAAAAGAAAATGCAATCCAGTAGGAAGCGGAAGAGGTATGAGAAAAGAATCACTGAGACCTTATTTGGATGTTATTGGATTCATCTCAATCCACATGTGTCGAGGTGGATTAAGGTATAATTTAGTTCAAGTTCCACTCCAACACATGTGGATTGACGTGAATCCGACTATATCCAAACAAGGCCTAAGTGTAGGTGTGAGGCTATGCTTGTTCTCAAGTGGACTGAGGACCATAAGTACATTGTGACAAGATTCATAAGGGCCAATAAAAATATTACGTGGAGTGCCAAAAACAAATTGTTCATATGCCATGAAGCAAGCATTAACACATCACAAAGCACATACAAAGTATTTTCCTGGATAACAGACATAATAGCTTGGATCATAATTCATAGTATGTTGTATAAACTCAGTCTAAAATATACTAAGGTTAATCCATTCCTTGTCTATGGGTCCATGACAAGCTATCTCCTCTCACCCCCAAACCCCCACTCCCCACCGTCCGAATTTTTTGTTTTTGGCCCTTTTTTGAAAGATTTTCACAAGTATGCCCTTGGTGGTATGCTTTCAAAATCTAGACCCTCACCTCGACACCAGAGTAATTGGCGCCGAGCTTACACGTCTCGGCGCTGGTGTAATTGGCGCCTAGATCGTGGAAGCTGGCATGGATGTGGCGGATACGTGGCAGGGTGCTTGGCGCCACAGATCTTGGCGCCAAGTTCGGCACAGTAGATCTTGGCGCCGAGCACAACGCCAAGATCTGTGGCGCCGTGGTCGGCTGACATATGGGCCCAATTTCCTTTCTTTCCTCCTCTCTCTCTTTCCCTTTCTCATTTCTTTCTTCCTGACCGTTAGCCGCAGCGCCGCGCCCACTCGCCAGCCGTCGGCGAGGCGCCTCCTCCCCGCCCGCCCGCCCCGCCGGCCGGCGCCGCCCTTCCTCGTGGCCTTGAGGCCGGGGCGGGGCGCGGGGTGCCGAGGCCGGGGGTGGCCTGCCGCCGCACCGGTGCCTACGAGTCCACTGCACCAGGTGCTTCTCCTCTCCACTCGAGCAAGGTATAATTAGTTGGATAATTTTGTTAGTAGTTACCAATAGTTAGTTCAATGATGTGTTAGTTCTTGATTTAGATAGGTAGATACATATTTAGATAGGTAGATAGATGGATAATTAGGGTGATTGTTAAGTTAGGTAGTTAGTTAAATACCTTGTGTAGTTAGATATTTATGTAGTTAGATACATAGATACTCAGTTACATAGGTAGTTTGTAGTATTTAGTAATAGTCGTTAGTTACTTGATAGTATGCATTTAGTTAATTATTTACCCACTAGAGACCTTCTATTATTCATCTTGCATATATTTTGGACTAAAGGTAACATGCTTCGTTATGTGTATGAATTAGATGGACAACCTAGTGAGCATATATCATGGAGACATCGTGGAAAGAGATCGCAATGGATATGTTGAGTTTGTTGACATGCAAAGCGTGCTTGTGTTATTCAATGAGAAGCCTTCATTTAGTGATTTGGTTGCAAGGGCTCGGGAGGAGCTACATTGCCATGATGATGATGGCATCGCAGTTGAGGGTGTACTTCACCTAGGTTCTCCTCCCAACATCCTTAGGAAGATGATCCTAATTGGGTGTGCAGATCAGTGGGAGAACTATGTGAGATCGGCTATGAAGAGCTAGTTCCAAAGTTTGGACGTGGTTGTGCGTCGGGTGTTAGTTGATCCCATCCCTCATGGGTTTTCCCCGCCAATGGGTCAGCAGGCACACTGTGATCCTCCCATCTCGGAACCTGATATGGACGTGGAGGTTGCACCTACGGTTCCCGATGCTGAATCTGCCCCTAATGAGCTAGTTGGAGCTTTTGTCAGACTCGTGATGTTGTGGCAGATCCTCCTCCTGAGATCCCTTTGACACAAAATCATCCAAGTAAGTGTCTTATCCGCATCGTTATTGGGAACTTACCCCTTATCTTACATCTATTTTTCTCATTCTTTCCTCGTATTTGTACTTATGTGGCAGGAGACATTCCTGACAATATAGATGTGCCCCCTGTTGCTGCGCAAGTGCATTGTGGAGATGAATTCCGTGGCTCCAATATTGTTGAAATTATGAATGATTCGGAGCCATAAGAGATGGCAAGGGCTCTTGATTCTGATGATGATTGTCCTGTTGGAGAGCTAACAGAGAGTGACGTTGAGATGCTGAGGTGTATCTTTCCCGGCCACCGTGATCCAAGAGTTCACGAGTTCAGCGATCTTATTCATTCAAATCAGGCGTGTGCAGAAGGACGTGATGATGAGCTGCTAGAAGCTTCTGAGGCTGGGCCTAGCATGGTAATTGAGAAGGGTAGGGTATTCAAGGACCTCCCTGCATTAAAGAGGTGGTTGCAGGGTTTGCAGTGATAAGAAAGAGACCTTACAAGGTCTTGCATTTATTTACAGAGCACCGTTACACAGTTATGTGCGACAAGGAACGCTGCCCATAGAGGGTTTGT